GTCTGACGATCAGATAACCACCAGCTTAACCATTTGGCGATTTCAGGTAATTGCTTTAGGCTGTTCATATTTACGTAGATAACAAAACCATTAACCCAGTTATACCGCAAAGAATTTTGCTCTGCAAAGACTGAGTGAGTACAACGCTACAATAGTCCATCGTGTAGCAAAGTGAACAAGGGGCCTGCGCACAAATATCCCTGACAGCTTCTCCTTGGTAAATTAAATGCGCGCATCAATAGGAGAGAGTTCCAGGACTACACGTACGTCCGGACGTACACGTCTGAGGGTGCACCCTTGCAAACAAGGCCAAGATTTGTCCGCCAATTGCTCATTAATAAAAGTTACAAACTCAAAATATTCTATATTAGAGAGTCCTGAGAGCCATGAAATCGAGGAATTGGAGAAATATGGCACTGAACCCCCGGCCCGGACTTGGGGTTTCCAATTCTGAGCAGCTTGGATGCAATCAGGTCCGAAATTGGCACTATTGGAGCCATTTTGCAGAGGGATGGTTTTTCAAAATAGCTACTTTCCTGGACAGGGACATTTTCTTCATTCTAGGAGTGGTCTGCTTCTGGTGAAAATTTCTCAAAAATTCATTTGTCAACCCCCCGAAAATTGAAAAGAAAATGAAAGGGGACATGTGGAACATCATTTTTCTGTGCAGTCTGAACACCTGTGAGAGTTGTGAGTATTTTTAAAATATTTGTGAAGTATGGGGATTTATCACTGCTGTCTATGGGAATTTCTTTGTAATGGTGCACCCCTGAGGCCGACTGCCCACTGTGTACCGCGCCCCCTACAGTTGACTGTTCTTCAAGTTCAAGATGGCAGCGCCCTGGAAAAAGTTTGTCGTGAACGCTTGCCGAGAGTTACCGGTTCTGCAGTCGTTTCGTCGAACAGTTTGGAAAGTAAGTAAGATCATCAGGTAGCTGAAGTAATGAGAATATGTGGGAGAAAAATGTCGCATCTGCCGTTTTTTTTTTACTGATTATTGCTGAGATGAGGCTATTGCATATCATGTCGCGAACAGTGACCTCTTACTCTTAGCTGCCGGCTGTTGCAATCGGATGATCACGCGGCTACGGCATGATTGCAGTGCAGATGTGGAAAACATGCTGAGTCATTACATGTACATGCAAGAAATACTTCGGCTGCACGCACGCAATGTTTGTTTCCATTACGTGATGACAGGTTCCAACGGGCATAATGCTTGAAGATTTTTAGCTTCCAGGCTATAGTGAACAAATTTTACATGGTGTTTGTGATTTAATGCAAGGAGGTTGGTCATGTTGGCAGCGAACATTAGCTCCACAGAAATAGGGCTGTACTGTAGTGGCTCTCTTTTACAATCTGTCTCTCATCTGTCGCCACCACAACCCTACATGTACTTCAAGGCATGTCTTAAATGCATGAAATCCAAACTGCAGGATTGTCACAAACTTTGAATCCTAATATCTTCTGAAATGAGAATGACTCGACAATTTTACTTACACTGGCGTATGCGTCAGAGTTTGGACTTTTATATGAGCACCCTAAAGCTTTCCCAAAGCGTATGTTTTCTGATGTATGGCACCTTAAAAAAAACAGCCTGTTTACGTGCTGACCAAGGACGGTACCATTTTGAAAAACGAAAGCAGCACTTCTTGCGTCGGATTTCAAGGCACCCGACAGGTGCTCTGGTATACGTCGTTCCATAAAAAAACTGGTTCCCCATCATACCTTGCATGACTGACAAACAAGGAACCGGTGAAGTTAAATTTGAATAACATTGATATGCATATAACTGTATCATGCTCCACACACGTGCTGTGGGCGGACTGTACACTAGCCAAGTGCGCGCAACTTATTACTGAGCAATACTGTGACAACATGAATTATGCATCACGGCACCTGTCGGGTGCCCTGACTTCCGACGAACGAAGGGCTTCCTTCGTTCGTCGCATAGAGCATACTTGTTAGTACATGTATAGGGGAACTTTTTTTTTGAGAATTTTTATGACAAAGTTATTTGGCTCAGGATAGCACAAGTGTGCATCTTTCATGATGTACCTGTTTTTTCGGGAGAGGATCAAAAGGTTTCCAAGGTGTTATTTGTTTTATTTTGGAACAGATGCTTCAATGAAGAAATCTCTGCAGCTCAAAACTCATGCAAACAAACCCATCCATGTACACGTACATCTGTTTAAAGCCATCATTTTTTATACAGAGCGGTCCTTTTCTCACATGCACTGATTTTTGTAAACTCATTCAAAATGACGTGAGTGGGTGGTCGTTTGAGATTGTCTGCATCATAAAAGTTGCATCATAACTTCATTTCTCTTTTAGGTGAGCTTCCTGTTCCAAGGAGGTAGTCTACCTATTCATTATACCGTCTTGACTATTAATGATTGGACTAATTTAAAATTGACATGCCCAAGTGTGTTTGGACGTATGCATAATGATACACACATCTCAGGAATTTCATTGATAATGCTTGTATATGTACATTTCTATATCGGTACATGACCAAGTGTAAATATACATCCAATAAGGCAGAGTACTTCTCCCTGTCTCTCTGTTTGTGGAACGTTTTGCCTGGGTAGGATTATGACTACATTTTCAAGACTATGAGTGTACTATAACAAATACTTTACATAAGGGCGAACATGTTCTTTGTTGAAAGCAAACAAACGAGATCTTGCAAAAGTGCTTGAAAACAACGATGAGGTCTTTGGTTATACACACCTCATGCCTGTCCTAGACTGATTTCTAGTATGTTTCTTTGCAATTTCAAATGTCAACAAACTCTGATTTGAGTGAAACATTGTATACACAGACTGGTCAAGAACTTTCATTTAGTATAAATCTTTCTTTTTCATGATTGTTTGTGTTTGGGACTGATCACATAAAGTGAAGTGTAATGAAGTGCATGCTTTGCCTCATTTCTGATGCTGGCATCAACCAGGAAGTTCAGAACTTTTTCTCACCATGGCATAATATACATGTACATACATGTGCATGTACAGTAATTGTACTCATTTGTGCATGGGTGAGTGATTCAGGAGATGAGTGAAATTATGGTCAAACACATTATTATGGAAATTGTGCATCAAGTACATGTAATTGTCACTTGCACGCAGTGACTTAGTCAAGGGCACTCCCATGGTTCATGGAGTTTTTTCATATGAGTACAACAAGTACCTACATGTATTTTCATGGATACAAGCGTGGAAACAGTACAAGTAATTCATTACTGGTTAGAACTCCTTGAGTGGAGTGAGCATGTTTAATAAGCAATTTGACTAGTGCAGTAGACATTTTATTGTTTGTCAACATTGTGCAGAAGGCAAGCAGAGTGTCTGCAATGCAAAAGTAGGCACACAGACATTTATTCTCATATTTCTGTCTTCTTACAGGACAGTATTCGAGGCGGATTTGTCGGCATGGTCGGCAAGTACGATACTTCTGTTTCTTTTCAATTTTATATTACTGAGGCACACAAAACTTACATGTATATATATGCTACAATGTACATGAGTTGCTAAAACTGCATTGACCAAATGGAATGTCATGTACATGTACCCTCGTTGATTCCAAGTACTGTGGCTTTGTCCTATCAATTGGCAAACTGATTTGAACTGTAGATTCCTTGAGTGATTGAGTTCAAAAATTACATCACTTGTACTTGAGTCGTCTTGTGGATTTAGTTCCCAAAAGGCTCTGGGAAACACACTCAACATACTGTATGGTGCATGGTCATGAAATACAGGATTCTCCATTAAAACGTTATATCTGTTGAACTGCTAGTTCAATATTGTAAGTGTACATGTACATGTCATCCAGTCCCATTGGAGATTCTTTCATAAGACTGGTTACAAGTAAAAGGGTAAACAATGATAGAATCTTTTTGTGACTTCTGCTGTGAAATGCATCAAAAGACAACCACACACCATCCAGTCTTGCTGGCAATTATGATTATAACACTGTGCAAGTTTGTGCCCACTTTCCAAAAAACATTCGATATTTACATGTAATCACAGGTAATCCTTAAAAGGAAAAAACGTTTAAGCAGACAAGAGAAATGGTGACTTTGAACAAACAGTATGGGAATGAATGGTGTGCATTGTGTCCTCACCTGACACCTTTCCCTCGTTAACTTCTTTCTGGAATTCTCCCAGAACACCGCTCATCCGTCTTGAGAAGCTAAGTGAAGAAACAGGATGTGATATCACAGTGAAGGTGGAATCGTCTAATGGAGGGGGCTCAGTCAAGGACAGGGCGGCTGTCTTTCTTATCAAAGATGCACTAGAGAGAGGTGAGTATGTGGTCCAAACATTGGGGAAGGGGCGTGATAGCTTGCCTCCAAAAAACAAGGGTGTGATTTCATAGGATGTTCTTGGATTTGAGAGTTTTGGTCCTTTGAAATGTGAACTTGTGGAGTTAAATCATTTGGTTTTTTTTTTATTTTCAACACTTTATGCAAAAAGCCAAGTGGTCTCTCATGCCTTATGATCAAGTAATCAAACACAATGTAGTTGAATGCATGTATGGCCAGTGTTTGCAACCTCTTACTGGGTGTTTTAATAGTGAATGTCTCTTCATTTTTCCATCCCTTTGTCATAGACTTGAAGGATTAGTCACTTCAGCTTATCTTGTACGTTGCTCTTGTTTTTGTCATCAAGTGCATGTATCGTAGTTGTACCTCAGTCGCTAGTTCTGCTGTTTCAGGAAAAGATTTCACACAACCTAGAAGTTAGGGAAATTGTAAAAGTCTGAAATAGGTTTAATGTACAAATTTTGGTAGAAAATCTGTCACTCTGTTTTTGCAAATGTACATCGCTATTAAAGGAGAGGAAAGATTGGTTTCTTTGCAGAAATAACACTGCAACCGAATTACCCATAAAGGTTAAAATAATTAAAAACAATGCAAAAATGTTTTAAAATGCACACATTTTTTGTGTACACAAAGCAACATGATATTGAGGTTTGCTTCATCAGATGACATCACAGTTTAGCTCGTGAGCAGGAAAACCAAGAAATTCAGCCAAAAGCTCTTTGAAATCATGAAACACAAAGTGAAACTGAGAAACAGTGTTGCATTTTGGAGTTTTGTATTCATGAATCTCCGTTGCAGCAGCTACCCTTGAGGAGAACACTTCAAATTGTCGCTAGACGTCAGTGCTATCCCCATGTGGGTTTGGCAATGCACAGCTTACTCCAGAAGGCTTGCATTCTTGTGTTTGTTGTAATCTGTTATCATCATCCACCATGTTTGTTTCCATTCCTTTCAGGCCAGCTCAAGCCAGGCGGTACGGTGGTGGAAGGTACCGCAGGAAACACAGGTAATCATGAATTTGGTGTTCTGAGATGAGAATTCACAGTTTCCTTTTCCATCCAGTCGACGGTGCTGTGATTTATCGTTAGCTGAGGATATTAACAAAAGGCAATATATACGGTGTAACCCACTTCCAAATGTGCTCTGTAGGTGGCACCCTTTGTTCAAATTTTTGCCTCTAGCATTTGATATGTGCAAATATATCAGTCATGATGCTGCATTTTGAGAGGAACATGTGAGATGAACAGTCATCCACAAACATTCTTTTGTTTTTGTTATTTTTGGGGTACCTTTGATGGCAAAAATTTTACCTATTACCACCTACAGAGTATTCTGTGGTTTTGAATTATCTGTGTTTTTTCCTGACTCCTCAGAATACTTACTTACTGAATTTCTGACTGATCTCAAGTTTTCCCCTTCTTAGCGTGTCAGACATTGTCCTATTCCATTCCCTTCAGCCTCTTCATAACCAGCCATTCCTAGTTTACCTATCGTCTGGAGTGGTCACTTTTCTCTCCCTCCTGGTATGGGGATACTCACCTGACTTATTCCTGCTATTCTCCTGAAGCTCTCACCGGTGGGCGTTCTTTCTCTTGAACCATTCAGGCATTGGTCTGGCTCACATATGCAACGCCATGGGCTTCAAGTGTGTTATCTTCATGCCCGACACCCAGTCCCAAGAGAAGATCGATCTTCTGAGAGTCCTGGGAGCCACCGTCTACCCAGTGCCAGCGGTACCCTTCACTGATCCAGACAATTATAATCATCAGGTAGGTTTTGCAAGGAGACCCGAACTTAGGTCATTCATAGCTCTAATAGTCCAGCGCTTGTATAGCAATCACTACATGAGAGTGGGTCAAACATCATGGGCAATAGACCTTTTTCACCCACATGACTAAATGTAAACAATACCACCACATGTGGACAGCATTGGCCATGGTGGTCGCATATATTCCTATGGGCAGCTTCAATCACGTTCGAACGCTGCATGCTTGACTAGTTTATCTTGAATAGGTAGATTACCATCACAACACATCATAGGTCCAACACAATCGTGACATCACTGAAAAAAGGTCTATATGTTGTAATATGTGAACAATGTGGGATTACTCAAGATGCCCTGACCAGGCCAAGAGGTCGTGCAGCGATTAAATTTGCAAGATCCATTTCAGTTGTCAAAAGCAATGGACATCCATACTGAGAACTTTTACAGAACCATCTTACATGTACTTGACTTGAGCTAGATTGCTACAAATGCTACAGTTTTTCGGAACTTTTATAGTTGTGTTAACTTTTCTTTACATCGTTCAACTCAGCTGCTACGTTTTTTCATTGCATTTTAGGATGCTTTCCCAAGTAGCTGGCCAGAAGGGTGGGTAAATTTGGCCAAGCCCGTGTAAGATGTCACCTGAGTGTCAAATTGAACACAGTCAGGCTTGCAGGAGCAAAATTGCACAACATGTGGTGTAGCAAGAAAAGGTTTTGGGAAGCTGTGTGTGTCCTTGGTGTGTTCATGAAGTGACAAAAACCCAGAAAGTCAATAATTTTTCGATATGGAGATTTTCCTACTATTTTCCTTACTTTGATGGAAAGAACAAATTGCAGGGTTGAGATTTCTCAGCTTTTTAGCTTATTTCAGCTTTTTTTGTTTTGCGTTTTAGCTTTTTTCCTTACTGACTGTGTACAAAAGTATAAGAGATTTTCACAGTTTCACATTTTGCAGCTTTTTTCAGCTACTTTTATCGTTGGTCAATCTCACACCTGAAATAAGCGGAGTTTCAAAGCAAATTGTTGTTTGGTAGCTGTTCCTAATCTCAATTGGGTACAGCTTTTGTAATCGTTAAAGTTTTTTTTTCCTTTTTTTTCTTTTTCCGCTGTTTTTTTCTAAGCGGCACTTAGGCAATTATTTTAAGTCCGATCAATTTCAAACTTGGTATAGTAATTAACCATCATCAGAGAGGTGCTGTGAAACTTCTTGTAATCGTTACGTTATCAGGGGTCACATGACCACAATTCAAAAGTTCATTCTATACAGTGTAGTAACTAGTAAACTATTTGACCGATTTAACTCAAATTAGGTATGCACATACTCAGGGACGTGTTATAGATGAAAATTAATATCTTGACCTCATGTGACCTCTACTTCTGGTTTGACTGCAAGTTGTATTTTAAAACACAAATCGTCATATCTCATGCACTACACATTCAACTGCAGTGATAATTTATTTTTAGTTATACATGCCACTTTGGCAATTATTCTTAATCCTATTAATTGCAAACTTATGATACTCGTTGACAGTCATCAAAAGACAATGAAAACATTTTGGGATGAGCTATGTGTTTGTTCACAAACACCACCTGTAGCTTTCCTCGTAACTGTAAACAAACAACTAACAAAAAGCTTGGCCTCTGTATTTCTCTCTGTTTTCACAAGTAACAAAAAGTCACATTGTTAGGGTAAAAAATAGAGACAACATACACAATCCCTGCACGAGTCTGTGTGCGTACACCTGTGTGCTAACGGTGTTGTAGATGAACACCTGTGTGCATTTTGAAATGAAACAAAATGTAACAATTTCACAAGTCACATATTTCACAAGTGCATATTTTTTACAAAGTGACCAAAGTGTGTGCAGTGTAATAGGAAAAAGTAAAGGCCTCACGAAGTGCAAAAGCTTTCATTAGTTTTATAAATGAATTATTCTTTAATTAAAATAATATTTCTGCAACTAGGTATGGACTGGCATTTTTCAAGTCATGCATTTCATTTTTAAAAATTCCTCAATCCGTGTAAAAGTGATGAAAAATGCGTATGGCGTTTTCAAACGCAATTATCTCGGATTGTTTGGTTGGCAAGATTTTGAGATTTTTTTCCTTTTTTGAGAACACGGACAATATCCAGAATCTGGACAGGTAGTATTCTCATAATTTCTAGAATTGCAATTCACCATGAGTATTCTACCTTCCATGCACTCCACCTTGGCTCATTCTCAAGCACTTGTACATGTATTGAAGTATCTCCACCAGAGGTCATTAGGACTGCTAGCATGTCTCTAATTCTGTAACTGACAGAACCACAGAGGAACTGCTAGTTCCTTATCTCAGATACAGCCAGCATTCATTTCCTCCTCCCTTTACTACCATTATGATTGGCAGAAATTGCTGTTGAGAAGTAATTGTGTTGATTGACATATGTTTGAAAAAAAAAGTTGTCTTCATTGTGCAGGCCAAGAGATATGCAGAGAGCCTGGAGAACGCTATCTGGACCAACCAGTTCGACAACACTGCCAATCTGAGGGCTCACTATGAAACCACGGGGCCAGAGATATGGGAACAAACAGGTGATTTGAAGGATCAGCCAAAGGCATTTTGGAACATGTCATAGGACATTGTAGGATCAGACTGACGGGTTATAATGTGGCTTATGTATAGAACGCATTACAATACCGATGGACTCAGTACACTGTACGTCCGTAGTATCCCCATTCATAAGGCCCATAAACATCCCTTAAGCCATCTCGGCTTCCTGGGGAGTACATTGTATATGTGTCTGCCTCGAACAAAAGCACCCCCCCTCGTTGGTTGAAAAGAGCCACTTTGGTTGGGAGTGTTCACTTTTTTGGTAGGGATATGACCGTGACGCTTTTATTTCCTTGTCATTTGTGAACCAACAAAGTTCAATTGCGACTAAAGGAGCCTCTGTTGCTAAGAAAATAGCTCACAGCCCATGCATCTCTGGTCCAGCCTTTTCAGGCACAAATGGCAAATAAAATACCATAACGTCCCTGCCTTCGCAGTAAAGTGACTTGCCCAAAGTCACATCATGTAACCAGTTGCTTAGAGTCAAACCTCTGAGGCTCTGAGTGAGAGTTACTAACCCTTTAATACCATTAGACCATGTGTCATTCGTTTTAGATGGAGGGCTTGGCAGTTATACTTTTCAATCTTGTTTTTGACATTAGTAGATGGGAAGAATTGATCTTGCAACAGTATTTTCTTCAAATGGGTATTTCTCAAAATATGTAATTTTGATCTTGACAAACCACCACTACAACCAACTCAACTCCCCCACTGCAGCAACCACCTTTCCCACTGCTGCTACCAACTCCCCCACTGCAGCAACCAACTCCCCCGCTGCTGCAACCAACTCCCCCACTGCAGCAACATGCAGTGATTCTATCTATGAACAGAGCAATGGCAGTACAGTTTGTCCTGTTTGTCAAATTAAACCTGAGACAAAAAGAACTTGGTGAGTGGATGCTGTGGGACTGGGTTTTTTGTTTTTTAGATTTATCTGAATTCAGATATTAGAGGCAGTGCACCAATATTTGCTGACCGCTAGCAAAGAGACAACTGCCGAAATCTGCCCCATGAATTTTGGTTGTGCAGAATTTCACACACTCCCGTTTCATATTGCAGCTGGCAAGATTGATGCGGTGGTCTTTGCCACTGGCACAGGAGGGACGCTAGCAGGTAAATGTGTCCTTTCAGTGAATTCCACCAAACTTTAAGAGAACTGTCAATGTCCATTGCTGTCTTTTATTAAACCATGTGCTTCAGCCCTCTCCACTTATTGAGTTTAGAACAATTATTTGGCCAAGACTGGCAATTTTCAGCTGCTGGACAGCCCTAATTGCATGTACGTTTAACTGTGGCCAACTGAACCTTCCATCTATTTCACTAATTTCATTGATGTAAAGAGCAAATGTCCAGTATGTCAAACTTGTTTATTTTTTCACCTATTCATACCAGATATCTTTTAAAATTAATGGTTAGCTAAACACTTGATCTTAAAGGCTTACATCTGGTAATAAGTATGTGCTATAACCTGTCTTTAGGTTAGTTTAAAACTTTTTTTCTATTCATAAATCCCTTTGAAGTCAGAGAGTCAAAAACAAAAATTACAAATTTCCAACAATTCTACTTCATCCTTCAAAAAATGCCCTTCTAACCATGCTATGGTGTGATCCTCTCACGAGCAGTCATAAACAATCTCCTTATGTGGAATTTGGTGTGGCGGGCAGGTGATGCATACTGTGTGAAGTGGTGCACATCTGGCCAGTGCTTTATCAACTGTTTAAGGGAGTGGCCAGGTGACAGGCTCTTGACCAATAGGAATGGCTAAGCTCTTTTAAATATGAATTTACAAATGATGTATGTAGTTTCGCTATTTTTTCAATTAAACTCTGATTTGGAACTTCTGTATTATTTCTTGGCTAAAAGGTGTGGGGAAATACCTGAAGGAGAAGAACCCCAATGTCAGAGTCTTCCTAGCCGATCCACAGGGTAGTGTTCTATACAACTTCATCAAGCATAACAAAATAGAGAGGACGGAAGGCTCATCTATTACAGAGGGCATTGGTCAGGGTCGGGTCACCGACAATTTCAAAGAAGCCCCTGTGGACGACGCGTTTGCCATCTATGACAAGGATGCTGTTTACATGGTGAGCTTCGTCAGAAGATTGGCTTCTTAAATGCTTGACTAGGTGACGAGGTCCAGATGCAGTGGAAGCTGGTTTTTTTTCAAGTTCTGAACCCCTTGACGCCAGAAGCAAAAGCTGTCCCAGCAAGTCCATCACAAATCCATCACAAGCCATTCAGATGAGCTGTGACAAAAGCATTCTTTTGTCATTGTTCACCCTGTTACCAATGACAGGCCTTGTGAAGGGACTTGTTAAGGGACTAGTGGAAGGACTTGTGATGGACTCAAATACTATGACCTTCATATAAATTGTGTATTTCATTTTCAGACTTTTCGTCTCTTGCACGAGGAGGGTTTCTTTGTTGGTGCCTCTTCAGGCATTAACGTGGCAGGAGCAGTGGAGGTATGTATATCCTTTGAATATGTTGAATTGTAACACTTAGACGCCAACTTGTCAATGAGGCCAAAGAGGTTCCAAACGAGCTGAAATTAAGTGACAAATTCAAACTGCTTGATGACAAAAGGCCAGTTAGAAGACAAAAATAGTTTTCAGCAAATTCATGCACTTATGAGCAGAGTACCAGTTTGCAAACAATGTGCACTGTGTGACATTTAGGCCTGGTGATCAGCTACATTGTTCTGTACTGATGAAATTCTCCACGCTTTATAACCCCATCAGATTAACCATAAACAAAAGATAAACTTCATCCTCCTTGAGAACTTACCAGAGCATACATGAAATTCTCTTTGCTACAGATACATGTAATCCGGGGTTTGTTTGTTTCACACCGATCCAAATCTCACTCAGTAATCCATTGGTTTGCTGACACCAAAACCTGTCCAATGGATACAGCGAACCAGCATTGGGATCACTGATGGAGATTCAGATCTGTGTGAAACAAACAGGCCCCTTGACTTGCTTTGCTATCCTCCTTCCGTTTCCTTGTAGGCTGCTAAAAAGATGGGGCCGGGGCACATCATTGCCACCTGTTTATGTGACACTGGGCAACGATATTATGGGAGATTGTTTAACCGGGAATGGTTAAAAAGTAAAGGTGAGCCAGTCTAAAGAATGCTACACAGTATTGTGGTTGAGACCCTTTAATACCATCACAAGATCCCACAAAACCATCACAAGACCCAGACAAGACCTCAAGTTTGAACAAGAGTCAAATGCTATTCAAGTGAATCGCAACAAAAGCCTTCCTTCATCATTCACCTTAGGCCTGTTACTTATGACTAGTCTTGTGACTGTTATTGTGTGATTTCAAGAAACATGCCATAATGTTTAACCATGCGTAAGACTTGTGTCACCAATTTCTGCCGTAGCAAGAAACAATATAGTCAGGTTCAATTTCATATAAAGTTGCTCAGCTGCGCCACATTTTAATAATATTAAATTTCTTGGATGTGAACGGTAACAGCTTTTACGATGGCTGCTCCTTTCCAGTATAACAACAGTCATCAATCAGTTGTCGAATTACCTGCGCCCACCATTACGAAAAAGTTTTTATCTTTTCTTTGTTGAAACAGACAGAAAATCTCGCAGTTCTCTCACATCCAAACAACTTTTTCATTACCTTGAAATACAAAGTTGTACATTTCTTGTATAAGCCTTGTTAAGTTCAGCAATGATGAGTCTTAACCGAACACGATGAGCTAGTTCGTTTTAGCTTTGTTCAATTCAACTCACGCCACCTAAAAAGACTGCATAAATTATGCCGTAATTTGTTCCCTGATTCGCAGACTTATGCAGTATGTATGTTTCATGAAATCACTCTTCATAATTTGTGCAACATATGCAATCAGTTGTGCCATAAGTGACATAATGCCGTTGCATAAAGTTTCATGAAATTGGCTGCTGGTCTTCTGTCTGCTCTTGTGGCTGGTCTTGTGCCTTGTCTTGTGACTAATCAAGTGTCTCGTCATGTGTCTGGTCTTGCGACTGGTCTTGCGACTGGTCATGTGTCTGGTCTTGTGACTGGTCATTTTTCTGGTCTTGTGGATGGTTATGTGTTTTGTCGTGGCTGGCCATGCATCTGGTCTTTTGACTGGTGGTGTGTTTGGTCTTGTGACTGGTCATATTTCTGGTCTTGTGACTGGTCATGTTTCTGGTCTTGTGACTGTTAATATTTCTGGTCTTGTGACTGGTCATGTTTCTGGTCTTGTGACTGGTCATGTTTCTGGTCTTGTGATGTCTGAAATGCAACACTGATGCTACATTTAAGCTATGCAACTGTAGGGTTATATTCATAATATGACACTAGTTAGAGACACGTCTGGGTCATTTGAATTCGAATGATGCTGTGTTATGCTTGAATCCTATCCCCATTTTGTTTTTCTTTGGTAGGACTCTTGGATTGCTTACCTCCAGAATACCAAACAACTCTACATTGAGGATACCTCTAGATCTGATTTGACTTTTGAAACAACTCTGTTTTCACTAAATCTTATTTGGAAAATATCACTTCGGATTCTGTAGCGTTATGTTTCCAAATTGGTGGTTCACTTCATATGTTACATCCTCTTTTGTCTTTATTGAGCTTTAAATTGGAGAGCCAATTTTTCATGTGTGGTAAAGAATAGTCTGCATATCTGAAGCCATAGTTATATCCACTAGGCCTACCTGCTGTATATAAACAAGATCATGATTATTGGGTTCCTGGTTCAATTTCATGTCACCTGAACCTCGACTGTGCCAATTCTCAGTGATCCGGAGCGGATCACAATACTACCTGGATTATGGTGTACCTGGTACATGTGCGTACATCAGGCAACCTCAATTTCCACTCTTCTCTTGTTTTTGCTCATTCAGGCCAATCTGTCTCGGTTTAAATAGTCCAAATTTGCACATCCAGAACTGTGCCATCGCCAATTTCCTCCAAGCTGCCTTGGTAAAAATTGGTGAAATTGAAAATGACAGTGCATGTAGTTGGTTTTATTCTCATGCTGCAGGCATTATGGAAAAGTACTCTATGCTCACTCTATGCTTCGGTGTTTCTGAACAGAAACTGAGATGGTGCATATTTAATATTTTAATTACTATCATACACATGCATGGTTTTGTCATGTGTTGAGTGTAGTGCACTGTGTGTGTTATACACATGTACCATACCACATGTGACTCATAATGTGTACTGTTCGTGGCCTCAATTTTTTGATCAGTACACATACAGTGTACATGAGTATTCCTTAAATTATGTATCTATAATTTTATGACTGTTTCTGTTGATTGTTTTCATGATTGTAACCGTATACATGTATGTGTATTAACATCAATCAGTTCCAAAGGAAATTGTTGATATATACTGATTAGAGGAACCAAATTTGATCTATTTTTATATACATTACGCTCTGATATATATAGCACACTATATATATAGCACACTATGGGCAGCTGAGTTTTCAGAGAAAGAGTTCAGCTGCATCATAGCCTATACAAATTCATACTACAATAATATCATAAATTAGGTATGCCTATCTTACCTCCTGCAGACATCCGAATATCATCCTGAACACTCAAGAGACACATGAGATGACTTCAGCACCTGACAGTTTCTTGGCCTTATTCAGACACTCAGTTTTGCGACTTCCTTGTTCATTATTACATGACTGGCCAGTCAGGGAGTTGTTTTATATGTAAACTGCCACATTTTTAGTAAATGTTATTGTGCACAATAAGTCTTTTAGGAACGCTTGAATTGAATGTTGAAATTTTTCTTTTCCCAATTTTTTAACCTTTACCAAATATGTTTTTTGAATTGCGCATAACTGAATTATCCTTTGGAAGATTTTAAATCATCATCTAAACACATTTTTCCTATTTTTACTTCATTTCTAATTCCATTTACTTGATGCAGTTTATACTTTAAGCCTTTCATTGATCGTAAATGCAAGCTACCTCTACTTTTGTTTATTTTGTAGGCTCCAAAAATTACACTTCCTAAAATCAAATTGTTTCAGTTTAGTTACATAAAATAGCAACTCCAGGTAGTACCCTCTTGAAGCAAAAGATTGCACCCTTGGTACCCGCAGGTGCATCTGGATTTACTCCTGGAGGAGGCATTCAGCACCAGTACACTGACAAATCATTAACAGTGGAAGGAAAGCAAATTGGCCTTTCTTTAAATTTTTCCTTTCCTTTTTCTTTCCATTGGGGGCAGCCACCACCTTGCCCTCCCCAGTGCCCACCGCTCAAAGGGTTAACAGTACATATATGACTGATTTGATGTTTGCTGTATTTTGTAGAGGTTTATGAGTAAATAAATCATAATGATTTGGAAATCAAAGTATAAATTGGTAGTAGTGCCTTCTTTGTCACTTTCAGCCATTGTTTTGAGTGAGCCATAATATTGTAATGTTCGTTTTCATCCACCCAGAGCAGTGTACAAAACTTATAGAACATCAAAGATCAATTTTTCAGTGGAAAGTGTAAATGTTTTAGAGTTTGTTTTTAACTTCTTTCAATTTCTGCTTTCAAGTTTTTTCCTCCACCCATCAGCTGGCCCCTTTCCTCCCTCACACCCGACTAAAAAACAAACAAGAATTGTATTGAATTTGCAAAATCCAGTCCAGGCCTAAATAATTTACTGTTTTCATGGCTACTGTTCATAGTAATAATATGAACAGTAAATATAGAGTCTCAGCTTGTGTTTTGTGCTAACCTTGCTACTTAGAATGAAGAACATGAGGCAAATTGGTCTTCAATATGGAGCTAATTTTCACAATGCAGCTTTCTGAAAGTTTTGGGGAAATGCGTGGGTGGTTGAGGGCAGACGTCGTAGGGGAAAAAGAATGCAGTGGCTGTTTCAGTGTTGCAGTTGGTCATGGGCTTCTGAGGCAGTGTGATGCTACATGTATTCATGACACTGTTTGCTGACGGTGTCACAAAAATATACCAAAGGTCATCAAGCAAGATGGAGAACCTCCTTTCCAGGAAGTTGCATCAAGCTTTGAACTCCCTTTGGACGTAATTGGAGAATCTCTGGAATAGTGGAGCCTTTCAGTTCCAGCAGCTTAAAAAATCATTATAGGTAAGTCAATATTTTGATGTTTTTTCCCCTCCAAACTTAAATGTGTATCGAGAAGATGCCTACAGGTTATAAAGCCTCAACAGCCGTCAGTGCTCCAGTTGAATTGTTATTTTTGTAGTTTGTACCCGAGAGGTTTGGATAATCAACTCAGATTATACATACTTATTTTTTTCTTTTTGACAGCATTGCTGTAAGTTGCATTTGCAAACAATTCACGAGTTCATTTTATGCGCAATACCAAATAGTGATCAATTATTTATTTACGTTACATGACGCTGTTATACATCATCACAAGAAGGGTGCGCAATGGACAGGCGTGGCCGAGAGTTTTGCTGTGGCAAAGGATATACTTAGTTTTGAATGAAAGATTTATCAGAAAACAGCTCGGGGCAAATCACGGTACTTTAACATAGTGACAACATTTCCTGCACTGTACAGTCAGCTGCCAGTTGGCTGTGTGGTCAGAAATTATGCTAAGCTGGAATTCTTAGAATTAAAAATCACTTGTGCAAGCAGGAAGTTGTGTTGTGACCATTAAGTTTTTGTTTCACAGCGAAAACAATAACAGGTTCCAGTCGTCCCTTTCTGACATACAGTTTTCGATGGAATGTTTACACTAGGGTGTGATCGAGACTACCTGTTCTGGTAACCATTCTGTATAATTGCTGAACAATTAGAGCATCTCCTTATTTAAATTTCTCTATTTGTTTCCATGACAACACCCTGAAATTATATTTCTGTCCTTTATAATGTTAGCAGTTTACCCCTGCCTCTAGTTTTTAATCTACCTGTTTGCAAATCAAAGTGTAGAAATACTCTTTGAAAACTGGTGCTACGAACAATCATCCCTTGGCACGCCAAAATCGTTACATACATGTACTACATACTTCAATTAAAAGTTGGAAAAGTCAGGTCATATCATCTATTTATTCCTGGCTAATTTTTAAATAAGATTACAAAAGCTGCAATTCAGATTGTGAAAGCCGTACATGTATCAATTAATACAAACCATGTTCTTTCAGAAAGAAATAGAGCAAGAAAGCTGTAAGAAAAACATGGTTTGGATACTTAGGATGAAGGTATTTTATTTAGCTTATGGCATCACGTAACAATTTCGGTAAAACTGAGAAACCTTTAACTTCTACACGGAGTGCCACATAAACAAAAGAGACTGAGCCCTCCAGTAAAGATGTTTCATTTTGATGAAGTGGATAACAAGGATACATGTAACACCCAACTGGACCTCTTTGTGTATTTTTGATTGGTATCAATGACTGTAAGAACATCAATTAAGAGATTTGATATTTCTGGAGTTTGTCTTGCTCAGATGCTAGTGTTAAAAAACAAAGTGGTTTTAACGCATTACGTTAACACTAAATGCAAGTGTAATACTGTTGTATACTAGACCTAAATGGATTCTCTTTTAAAATGGCTAGATATATCCGTGTACGCACATGTATATCAGTAGTTTTACTTTCACACATTGTCATTGCTTTATCTTACTCAGGTTATTATTTTTTTTTAAAAAAGTTCCAAGCTTCTTGTTTCAGGAGTCATGTTTAATCGGACGGATACTTTCACTCTCGTTGGCAGCAGTGCCTTTGTGGGTGGGTCCTGCTTAACACGAGGTTTCATACTTTAATGCATTCAGATTTCATTGCAGAGACGGGGTCCACCGAGTACAGTACTAGTCCTGTGCTGATAATGAGTCAAACAGGGAAGAATAAATTTTAAGCATCAGCGATCAGCTGCCACCCCATCAGGATAGGGATCTGACAGCCAGCTGAACGTCTGACTTGCCCAAGTGAACATAGTTGTGTAGAATTCGGCAAGCATGGATATAGCATCCTCAAAACCAGTGAGAGGGGACCAGCTAATTACAACAGATGGTATGTGCAATATGTGATACACGTGCTAGAGTGAGCAGAGCTTGCTCTGAAAGTCTTTACATGTACTCCCTCTCTGCCATAGGTGAACAATCATTGTCTGACAGGTGTTTTTTTTTACTTGAACCCAGATAAACGTTCAGCCCTGTTGGCAATATAAAAAAACATTGCCTACCCCCCCCATCCTAGCTTGGCTCAGTTACTTGGGGGTGTCAACAGTTCTTTTTTAATCATTTTCCGATTTGGGGTGAATACCCCCACCTTTAATGTAGGCTATCAGTGACTCCTTTTGAATCGGTCCAGCACTAGGTGTATTATGGTGTACAGTACACTGTTTGAACTGAAGCATACGACTGGATATGTTCAGTGGTTGTGTCCAGATATCCCACGACACATTTGAAGATAACCATTCGCTTCATGGCATCATTGGTTCTTTCCATCAAGGCTCACTGTGGGAGACCGCCGATGTCATAGACACAGTTGGCACAGCAGATGACGTTGGGGTGCATGACCCATTCGTAGGGATCCTTGTGGCCTCAATTGCTCTCTGTGTCTTGGTGATCCTTATGCTGGTCATTACTTGCTGCTGGCAATTGTGAGTCTGATTCTGTTAGTTTTAGCTTTTATGGCAGAAGAAATCCCAAAACATTAAGAAGGATTTGGAAAAAAATAGTGGCCCATGCACTGTATGAGAAAGCATTTCTGAAGGAGTCTTTAATTCGTTGGTTTTTTGTACAAAGTAGGAAAAAAAGTTCACGCTTGGATCTCATTATACTGGAAAAGTTGTATTAGATGCAGAAATATTAAAACGTAATTGTCAATCAGAATGTTTCAACCCGAAGAAAGAAACAAATTATTTATATTTATGTTTATATATACATAACAGGATGTTCTTCCAACATTTGTGAAAGGCATAGCTCCAACTCATTCACGAGTCACGAGTTTCCCTCCATTTGACAAGATGACATAAACGAGTACTGTAACAAGAAAATTTTAAAATAACTCCAATGTTTATAAAAAGGAAAAAAAACTGTTTGCACAGTTTGGGCATGTGAACATATACACGTGCAAGTTTTCAGCCTAAATAAACTTACGTCAGTGTGCCCGACCCTAAGAACAGAACTCATGTTACAACCCGTCAGAATTAAAAAAAGAAAAAAAAACCTTTCACATTGTGTAAACCTCTGTCCACAGTGAGGTACAAAAGACATATTTCAATCATGTAAGATACATTTAATGAATTATACAGAGGGAAGCACTGCAGTCAACGAGGTGAAAGTATGCCTTTAGGACAGGCTAAGTTAAAACGAGAGTCGACGTTTATCTCACACGAAGACCATGCCTGCGGTGAATTCAGCATTAGCCCCAAGGTCTTCTGGGAAGAACTCAAGTGTAAGTCCTGAATGTGTAATTTCTTTTTGCACAAAATTTGTTTGCTCCAATAGAACACTAACCTCTAAAGGCAATACTAATGACGACATTCAAACTGAAAAAAAGACAAATAATGCGCCTAAAATTCGGCAATTGGCATTAATTTACGACAAAGAATCAACAAAGTTTGACAACTTTGCAAGAGATTTGTGTCGAAGTGGGTTTCAACCAAAACTACTTTTTAAAACCAGCAATCCTGGCTCCTCCGATATCTGAGCACTTTTTCTGGACACCTTTTCAACCCACAACCCTTACGCCACGTAATATTATTTGTATAGACTAAAACAGTGCACTTGCCCAACCGTTGTTGTTTCATTTTTTTCTGTCAGTGGACGAACTTGCTCTTGATGATGATGAGATGAAGGACAAGATTCGCGAGATTCTTATTCCAAGGAATAAACTGTCTATTCACAAGCTCATTGGTGAAGGTAATTACATGTTATCTTAAAGTGTTTTTAAGTGCAAAGAAACCAGTTGCAGTTTCCAAAGTTTCAACACGACTCATTTTGATAAATCTATAAAACCTTCGAAATGTTACAGAAGTGCGTCACTAGCATTATACATTAACTGGAAACACTTGCAAAAATTATATTGATCAAAAAGCAGTTTATTAGTGAGACCAGCATCTGGACAGAAGAACACAATTCACCCGTGTTTCTGTGTTCCCCCAATTGTTGTGCAAAAGAAGTGCTGGTATACAGCTAATAAACGTATTCTTCAGGTTGGGTAGTATGACCACTGCATTGTTAAGTTCCGGTTTTCCTCCAGCTGTAAGTTTTAGTTGTCATTTTTCGGGGTTTATTTGCTCTGTTTTTCTAAGCACTTCGCAACGCTGTTGTAAGAGTGCAGTGAAACAATGGCATAGTTTCCCACTTGAAATGAAGGGCTGTTCTAGTTTTATGGGGAACGCATGGGGCCATTTCCACATCTGACTCAACTCCGACCTTGAAGTTGAATTTCTCTCGGTGTATTACTCACCAGGCCAGTATGCACAGGTCCACTTTGGCACTATGGTCAGTCCTTCCTTTTCCTGTGAGCAGAAGGTGGCGGTCAAGATCATGAAAGGTACAACTGTCGGTGTGACATGCACTGTGCTGATTCACAAACAGCTACTGAGATTGTTCATTTTGTTGATGGCGACGCAACGTTTATGTGTGCATTTCATAGGCATTTGTGAACTAGGGAATTGCAATCCCTACCCAAGGAGCCTCCGTTGCTAGGAATATTGCACCCTTTCTTAGTCCCCCTGGGGGTAGATAGACTCGGACAAAAACAACACAAAACACTGCCCCCCCCCAGCTAAAGCTGCGGTACTTTTGGAATGTAGAATTTTTTTCAAGCTGAATCCTTCCTTGAAAGGCAGTTGCCAAACACATTTTGCAAGTGTCCGGGCCTTTGGTTAACTGGAACACAAGTTAGGCCCTATTTGTGAGTGTATTAGACACAACGTGAATAGTACCTCCGTGTCGGATGTAACGAATTTTGATGTAACAGGCAATCTGTCCGCTTTGAGTTGTACAGTACACTGAAGAGACACGGTTCTGCAACAGAAACCTATTTCTTTAGCCGATGAAAAAATCACTTTATTTGATGACCCGATCGATTTGCCAAATATTTGGGACAAAATAGAAATTTTATGGGATTGGATGTTTCAAACAAAATCCCACAAAATTAAAGTTTTTTCATTACAACTAATTCTCGTAAGATATTTGCTTAAGACAATGCTCCTAAAGCCCTTTTCGTGGAGAGATAGAAGGGGAATCCACACCCCACCCCTTGATTTGCATTACGCTTTAATTAGGGTATCGCTTGCACGTCTTTACTTCTTTTTGGTAGAACATTGGACGGATCAGGCGAGGAACCTGATCGAGGAAGGACTGCTGACCCTAGGATTGAACCACCCAAACATTCTGGCAATCATTGGTAATTAAGCTAACAATGGGTGCATTTGTGAAGCTTCGCGGGAGTTTTAAGTAAGACTGTGGGGGATGCAGTTCAACCCAAGTCAACTCACACAGCCTCTCATACCCAATACCAGTGTACACAGGTTGCATGAGGGGATGGGGCTATCATGGTTCCAGAGTTCAGCTACGCCCATGAAGAGAAGAGGGAGGCTAGAAATTATTGAAAAACGATTGAAAAATCAACACCTAAGTCAGCGACTATTTTCATTCTTAATTAAATATTAACAGGAGAATTTGACTGGAAAAATAGAACATGAATATTAGCATCAACTACAACTGACCAGCACCACCTTTAGCTAGTATCCCAGCACAATATCGTGTCCATGCAGCCCATTAAAAATACAAATCAAAGAACTTTTGCAGGATCAAACATTCTGTATTTTCAATGCGAGCCTGGCCTCCCTCTGTTGTGGTCATAAAAACGCCTTGAGAATCACCCTTGATTCCACGGCATCATTCTGGTGCTTATTCACCTCCTTTGGTGACCTCTGACCTCAGGTATTAGCCTAGAGTATACGCACACCAAGCAGATCAGGCCCCTGGTCGTCATGCCGTTCCTGGAAAATAGAGATCTGAACAGCTTCTTGAAGAACGTTCGACTGGCCCAAAATCAAGAGGTAAAAATAATCAATTGCTTCCACACTTGTTTCTTTCATGTTTGTGTCTTTTGACTAGTGGGCCCGCGTATATATTTGTTTCAGAGGGAAATTATTAACTGCGCATGTCTTATTTTGAGGGTCATTTGCATGCGTGATGAAGGTCATGAGAATTCGTGCCATGCAAGCAGCTGCTTCGTTCCATGACAGTGTTTCCCTTTGGGACAAGCTACGAGCACGCAGCGTGGTCTTTTGAAGCGTGCGATACAGCATGTACTGTGCGCAATGTGCTGTACATGTACTGCGTTCTTGCGATGACGTCATCCATCAGCCTGGGCGAGCAAACGGCCAAAAGGTTTTAGGATCGTAGGATCTTTTTATTCATTTTGGGGTCATAATTAATGGGGTAAACATTAAATTTACAATGTTTTGAAATGGTTACCTATTTAATGTTATTTTAAAACACTTCACGTGAACTAAATATTTTCTATATTTCTGTTACCCTTTAACATATGCCAGACACTGACATTCATAACGAACTGCTGCCTGGCTTGTTCCCTGATCACCCAGGGAACATCGTATCCTTCCGCAGTGCTACCATGTATGGGGCATACAGCCCATCCATTATTCAGACAGCTCAGTATGCGACACATCTGCCCATAGGTTTTAATGAGGGGAGGGGGAGCTTGCACATCCCTCACCAAAAACAAATTGAAACTAAAACCAGGAAACTGAGGAAGCAACAAGCAAAAGAGAAAAAAGAAATTGAAAGAGTATAATAACCGCCAGTGTTTGTGACAATTAATGCCTTTCAGCGCACTCCCTTTCCGTGTCAATGATTTGTCAAATTTAACTGAAGAGTGCTTTGTCCAACCCCTCCACCCTCCTGGACAAACCTGGTGATATCTATATGAAAATGCTAGGAGAAAATATAGTGAAATGCCCAATTCAACACCGAAATTTGGAATTTCTTCCTTTGGATATTTAAAAATGAAGCCCAAGGCAATCTGATATAATTGTTCTGTAATTTTTGTAATTCGGCAGACTTTTAGCAAGTGCTGGTACTTTATGTGATAATCATCTAACTCAGTATATTGAATGCAATTAAGCCATTGCCCTGGTAAAGTCAGCATAGATATACTAACATTTTTCATGTTAGTATATCTATTAACTTTGTTGTCGATATGTACTATCACCAACATATTAGCCCTTATAAGTGCCTTGAGGGGTTGTGTCTACAGCAGCTGTGATCTTTGCTTTGTTCACAGTTATGATATCAAAAGCATTTCGTTTTTTTGATAAAAACACCCGAGACTGTAGCGGCATTCCAAACAAACAAACGGAATCTGCTTCATACATGTACTACAGTGTAAAGATTTGCAATACTTGTACACGCTGCTTAAAGTTTGACGATGTTGTTTGACTTGATTGAGCTCGGTCGAACTTTTAAGTAGCAGTTTGTGCAGTTCTTAAAGCATAAATCAACAAATAGTCATTTGTCAAATCTGTTCTGTGATACCTCACTAAACCTCTCTTATTTCTTATCTTGTACTTTTGTAGTTGTCCTTGTCCTGGCGAGTGGATATGATGATCCAAATAGCGACTGGAATGGAGTACATCGCCAATAACGGTATCATCCACAGGGACCTGGCCACCAGAAACTGCATGTAATGCTGTGAAAAATTGTAAACATTCACCATTAAAAGTGCTCAATGAAAGGTGTTCAGGCATGCACTGCAGAACCTAGAGCAAATCATAAATGACAATGAAATTAAAACATTGTTTCATTTGAGTGGAAACTTTGCACAGATGAGAAAAGGTGTCAATATTCACGACATTTAAGAAAAATCGGTGAACATTCTTATGTACATCACGGGTAAAATCTCGCGGAAGCAATGCACACCACTAACACTGCATGCAAAGCTTATTCAGTAATTTAATTATTAATGATAAGTAAAATAATTAGAATTAATTACATTTGAATGAAATCATTAAATTTCATCAAATAATTATAATTGATTATAAGTTGGTCAACTTGTCAATCAAGTCAGTTGGTCAGTCTGTCGGTCAGTCCAATTCCTCGAGTTCGAATACTTCTGCCATTTTCTCCAACTAGGCTGGATGACAACTACGTGGTGAAGGTGGCCGACTTTGGCCTGGCCCGGCGGATATTCGACAATGAATGCTACAAGATGAGGATCCGTCAGAGCATCTCTTGTTGCCTTCCTGTCAAATGGGTGGCCATCGAAGGACTGAATGACTCCATCTTCACTTCAAGGAGTGATGTGGTGAGGTTATATACTATGTATTTCATGTCCTAGTTTTTGTGTGTGTTCACTTTCTTGCATGTTTACTCAATAAGACTACAAATTTTACACTACCTGTCTCATCTTCAATTCCAAAGTAAAACAATATTGTCTGTGTAAAGCTGTACACAATTTCTATATGAACTGTCAGTTATTTAGCCCGAAGACATCATGATTGAGTGCTGCAATATTGTGATTATTTGTTCAATTCATTTGTAATCTGGCCCTCATTGGTTTTGATTGATCAAAGTGCTGAGTTACGTGTTTGCATAACAAAATTCCCAATCATCTTGGCCAATGGTCATATCATTTTATCTCTGGTTGGCAGCAAGCATATTTGCCTTTGCATCTATATTACTTCGTCATAAAAAGTTTTGTTCTTAGTCAAAGTGTAGGGCTTTCGCTTTGTGATGCACGCAGTTCCGCCTCTGCAAAGAAAGTGTTCATTTTCAGCAAGAAAATGTCGATTTGTTTTTTTAACTGACTTGATGAATGGAGTGTGTGAACAACTGTTGAGGCCCGGGATATGAAGCCAAACTTGCTGTAATGAGGAACAACTTTCGTGTCTTTTTTCCCCACACCGCGCTATGTGTACCAGCTCAATAAAGAAGAAAAACGAACAAAATCTTAAATTCTTCATAAAACAGCCAGTTCTACCGCAAAATTGAAGAAAGAACCTAGAATTAAAGAATTAAAAAAGTACTCACAGTGTGGTCACTAGAACTCAAAGACCAAAGCCAGTGGGAATGGAATAGTTGAAGTGGATTAAGTGCTGGAATATACCTGACCCATTATCACAGAGTCAGGATTGATTTTTGACAATTCCTCTCCCCCACTGTTAATTTTCATACTTCAAAGGGATTTTTAGGGTTAAAATAATAACTAATAATAGTATATTCTTAAAAAGCGCCTCACATTGTCAAACATTCTTGAATTTCCTTACCACTAGATAAAATTACAATACAAGAAAAAGTTATTATAGTTAAATGTTTAATGAAAGTATTAGAAAGCTTACAATTAAAATTGAGTGATTGAACAACTACAAATTAAGATAATGGAACTAAAGTAAAGATGGAGTTAAAATTGAATTAAATTAAGAACTAATGACTAGATGAAATGCTGTTGAAATACGTAAGTTTTCAATGAAGATTTAAATAATTCAATTGTGGGCTTAGTGCGGATCGGGTTCCGGAGCTTATGTTGTGGAATTTGCATTTTCCATGTATTATTATTGTTAACGTTCTCTTCACCCATCTGTTGAATTTACTGAAAGTCTCATCCCACCCATTTTGTTAACTTCTCTGCAAGGTTTTCCTCACCCACTTGTTAATTTTAAAGTATGATGTTAACGTTAAGGCCACTGAACGCCCTTGAAGAAAGTAATTCCTTAAATGAACCCTTTCCTACAATTGGTCACTGCTCAGTCAACTGTGAATGTATCGATATGATCAATGTGTCATTTTAAACAGGACATTCAAACCTAACAGATGTTATCTCCATTTGATTCACATGAGCCATGCTTCTTTTACAATTCGCAATAATGTCTCGCTTCCTTTTTTTGATCCACTCTGTATATTTGTATCATTTTTCCAGACAAAAAAATTTCGTTTCTTTAGCCGGCTTTTTGAATGGTTGAGGACATACATGTAACACACCACGGGCTTTCAGAAGATGCGAATGTACATCCCGGCTTCCAGCATCCCTGTACCAAAAGTCACATGTCACCAGAGCCATTTTGAGTTAAAGGCCTTTAAATGAATCTCGAAAACTGTAAATCTATAGGAAACCTCATTATTCGTCATCCACATAATGTATTTTCATCAGTATGTCAAACTGAGAGATTGATAAATGCACAAGCTTGAGTTGCCAGAGCAGGTGGCAAATAATGTTCCAGTGGTCTTGATGAAAACACGTGATACAACCCCCCCCCCAAAAAAAACCCAAACAAAACAGAAACCTGTGATTGACTTCCTTTTTACATTTCCTAGTGGTCCTTTGGTGTGACCATGTGGGAGATTGCCACCCATGCCAAGATCCCTTATCCAGGCTTGGAGAACTTCAAAGTACTGGAGTATCTTGAGCAAGGCCGTCGTCTTCGCCAACCGGATGGCTGTCCAAAAACCTTGTAAGTCGACTTCCTGGAGATTTGCCAATGTTTGCCACCTTTCACTCACGGCAGAAGCAAATACAGACACAATGTTACAGTAGTAAGGTCATTCACATAGAAAGGCTCCATTGTAATTTTTTGTAGCCACTGCCGCCCATCCTTCTTGCTTTATTTTTTAATGAAATAATCTGACCTTCGGGTCCAAAAAGCGGGCATGTGTATGTATCTTGACTAATGAGAAAATTATTGCAAAAGTCTAATCTTCTTTGCAATGTCATTAGGAAATCACATTCGCATTTGATGTTAAGAACAAAGTACATGCTCGAACAGTGTCGACAGTGACAGGCTATGTGTCTCTATTGTCTCTATTATGTGTCTCATTTTGGAAATTTTTCCTACAGTGGCACGTATGCAAGCATTTGACCTGTACAGACTTTTTACATTCTCCAAGTTCTCAGAAATTCTTTTCTGTTTTTTGAGTCAACCACTTCATCCTGCCCACTCATTCTCCAAACCCTTTCTTTACATTTGCAGGTACGGCCTAATGTACACCTGCTGGCACAGGGACCCTATCATGCGGCCTTCCTTTGGCTATGTGAAGGAGCAGTTGGAGGCTCTAAAGGAAACCGTCAGCGCTGCCGACAACTCTGGGTCAGCTACCATGGCTAGACAGCAACACGAGGCAGCCATCCAGCAAAAAAACCCCTTGTACCACAATGCCTGGGTGTAACATTGCCTTGAGTACTACAGTGAATGGGTACATACTGCAGTGCCTGGATTTCATTACGTTCTGTGTAAAACATATTGGTGTCACTGTTTTGAATTGGCCCAGAGTGATCACATAAAAACTTATTACCCTCACCGTTGGACATAATGTCTCTGCCCCACAGACCATATCACAATGCAGAGAAGTACCAGTCATTAGTACTTCTGCTGTACTATAGTTACCTCTAGTGGGAGCAGGCAGCTGGTGTCCGATACAATCAGCTGTTGGATCGCTGCAATGTTTTGAAGTTTGTTTGAAATTCATTTCTTTTGGAACCTTCCATAATTTCTGCTGAGCTTGAAGACACATGCAGATTTTACTCTTAAAATGGTAAGAAAGATGTAAATATATTGCTTGGGAACAAGACACATGCAACCAAACCAGTTAATTAAACTGATATGGAGATGTACTGAGACCGCATGTCACACAACCTTCTATACGGCTGACAGATCGAGACGTTTGTCAATTAAATTCAAGACCTCCAGGAGAGGAAAGTATTGCAAAGAATTCAAGACAGAGGTATAACAAACCATTTACTGCAGTGATGTGGGCCATGTTTTAACACCCAAAGGACTCATAGCATCTGATGCGAAGCTGAAAGTGCGATAAGTATGAAACATCGTAGATATCCCACATCAAAGCAGTCCATGATATTGAAGTGTAGCACACAGCCATAGTGTCGCAGTGTAAGGGCCCATTTACACAAGAGATGAAGGGTACTCCATTTACGATTATTGGCTTTCCTATATATATTGGACTGTTGAGAGTGGCCAAACTGTGCAGTGAACCGCCGTATAATTATATCAACCCAAGCGATTTCAAGACAGCACTTTTTGACCAATCAGCAGAATCATTTATAGGTGTGGTGTCATTGATTGACGAACATGGCACATAAAGCTTCTTCGTCAAATGCCTTCAATGCCTCCTGAGGCGCTGTTGTTATTAAGCAGATACCAAGCGGTTTTTCTGCCTTGTGCATAAATGTAAAACAACATATTCCATTACCGCACTAATAGCTTGTTCGTGTAAACAGACTCTAAAGTCTTGTACCTCACAATGCCACAGTGTAATAAATCAATTGGTGTAAATAATGTTCAAACTGAAACAACGATTGAGAATTGATGGAAGCACATTTAAGACTGTGCAACCAGACACTTGTGTTTCCTGCTACCTTTCATTATGAGATTTGATGTGGGAATAAGGATTCTGTTACTGAACTCTGGTATAATATTGTGGCCATGATTGGTCAACAGTGGTTGGGGTAGTCTGGTTGGCTTTATTGGAAGTAGCCAACCAAGATTGGTCACAAAATGCATAGGAGAAAACCAGCAAATTTTGTTTGTTTTTGTTTTTTGTTGTATTTTTTTTAAGTAAACGTCAAGCACACGTACATCAAATTTATCTTTCTGCATTTCCGATGTATTTTGCCACAGCATAGGTATACTAATTGTTTAATAGTTATCAACTCATGCTACTATTATAAGCACAACATACAGTTTGTGTCCGTGTGGGGTGAAAAAAAATGAATCGCTGTTGTAGCTCGTAAAAAATAAACACATTTCGCAAAAAAAATCTGAATATGGAAGTTCTTGGAAATTCCTGGAGAACGAGTTGATTTTCCCCATTTTTATCTCTGCTTTTTGGGGAGGGGGAGTAAGATGTCTCTTCCCCCCTTTCTTTGACCATTACTTTAAGAAGGACATTGTCACCACACATAATCAATATATACCCACTTGTACGTTCGTATCTCCATGTTTGTCACCCCCAACCCCAATGTGAGTGCTGAATGCTTTAATCTGCATGCACCATTCAACATCCAGAAATCCTCAATCAGTAAATTATGAAAGCCCTGTAATTCCATCAAATATATAGTTTCAAAAAGTGAAGTATTTATCGAGGTCCATTTTAAGAGATATATTTTTCCGACTACGTTTTAGGAGATACATGTATACTTTTCCAAAAGTTGTTTGTTGAAGACATACATTATACTTCGTTCTAATGAGATCTGTATTTAGAAACATTGTTTCTGTGTTCGGAAACAAATTGCTTAAACGAGATATATTTTATGCTGAAGGTTTTTATGAGATATATTGTATAAGTTAATTTTCAGGAGATATACATTGTCAGGTTTGAATTTCCTCGTACAAACGAACTTCACAAAATATGACTCATAAAAACGGACTCAAAAACATATAACTCATACAAACGGACTCAAAAAAGCCAACCTAAAAATTGATCTCGTAAAAGACAATTTAACTCCAAATATAGAAACAGCATTACTGCTAATAGCTTTTACGGGAACGAACTGGAGAAGATGTATATCAGAGGAACCTGGGAAAATATATCTCGTCAAAACGTTGAAAAAATGAGAAAATAGACTTTTTGACAATATATACTTGACGGCAATCTAGGACTTTTGTAGTAAAGTAATTCATGCCCGAGTATCTTGGTTTCACAAGAGATAGTACCACAATTTTTATCATCTAAAAAATTTTACCCGTACAATATACAGGAATGTTAAGAATTACTCTGACATATTGCATATTTACAAACAGAAATTCGATGTGTTAAAAATGAAAGAATATTAAATTCATGGAAATTTATATGTGTATGTGTGTAGTTTAACTACATGGTGTAGTGTCTGGAGAAAAATGGACCTCCATTGAAGGAGCATAATTATGACTGAAAGGAATCAATCACAAGGGACCATTCATATTGTTTTGTATACCCGGGTGGGGATTGGGGTGTTGACAGCATGAACAAGGGGAGGGGAGATCGGCGGGGGGGATGCATGTATCCTACACTCTGCTAATAGAGCTTGAAAGTAAAAGGTCACGCAGCGAGTTTCCAGAGCCCTAGCGTGGTCCGTCCATGGGGATTTCGCATTGGGCCGTCCTATCACGGTTCAACAACTTTTGGAAAAATAATTCCCAACTGAAACCACCCCATTTAACACTCTTTTTGGAATTTTACCTTTGTCAGTATTTAAAGAAAAGTCATCTGGAGATGGGTACAAACGACTTTCATCAACGACCTTTCACGTCCGGCGATATCGTACCTAGGGCTCCTTGTTTCTGCACGTTTGTTTTCACTCCCCATTGAAAACCGAAATCGTAAAACGTTGCAAAGATCTACCTACTTGTAGTTGATTGGTTCCATGTTCCGTTGATTTGACATAACGCAGTTGTTGTCATCAAAAATCCCTAAAATAGTAAATTCTTTCGTAAAAGCGGATCATTGCTTTAAGTTTATTACCTTATAAATCAAAACAGTGAAATATTTTGATTTTTTTATTTCAGCTTTTACCCACAGACTGCCATCAAATTTCAAACCGTAAATGTTCCTCTGCGTACGAGACCGCCGCATAGGACTGCACTGCATGCATTTTATATTTTTGGAAGTGATGGTCAGTTTTTGGCAGGATATCGATATTTCTCTTTTAGGTCAGGTAATCAGTTTCATTTTTCAGTTTCTATCAACTGATATACTAGCAAATATTTTCCAGAGCCCCTTTTCCATGATGGATGTTTAAGAAGTAACTGAACGGAAAAATATTACAAATTCCTTAAAGGTGGTGGACACCATTTTTTGTTTTATTTTGTTTTTTTGTTGTAATTTCAGTCGTAAGATTTGCTGATTACGGTGCGTAAAATTCGCTGCAACTTACATACCACTCACTTGTTTCATGATTGAGTCAACTGCTTTGGACTGTTGGTGGACTTCCCAACTCGAAGTTCAACTGTCTTGGATAAAATCAATATCCCTGCCACTAATATCAGCCAGCAATTATCATGGCCCCTCTTAGGCGTGGTGAGAATGACAGAATTTTGTGGAACCCTAAGATAAATGCTACTCACTACAATGACACATATATCAAAACCATAAGGTCGATGAAACAGTCTTCTGTGCGTGAATTCGGCCAATGGATAACGACTGGTCTGAGCTTTATGGTTAATTAAGCTTGAAAAATGTTGCAATATGAATGTGAGCTTCATGAAAATTCCTCGATTTCCATCAATGCAAATCCTACATACTGATCTTTAGGCGGTTGACTGTGTTCTGGTTAGTTCAGACCTCAAATGGGACAAACACGTCGATCATATTTATCATAAGGCTAACAGTAAAATCTTCATGCTTATTAAATTGTTGAAGAAATTTAACTTGCCTATATATTACCGATCTGTTAATAGTGTTTAGGAGGTACATTCGGCCACTTATGGAATATGCCACACCGGTTTGGTTTGAAATGCAGGCTTAACAAAATCTCATGAAGGGAAGTTGGAAAGCATTAAAAATCGTGCACTCAAAATCATCTTGGGTATAGAGTATTCAGACTATGAATCAGCTCGGACTAAATGCAATCTTGTGTCTCTTCAAAGTCGTCGAAGAGACCTTTGTTCAGACTTTGCAGCCAAACTGAAGTCTTCCAATACATTCCATACGTGGTTACCTCAGCCGAGACATAGTCAAGTTCAATATCAACTCAGAAATGCCACAAACCTGTCACATTAGCATGTAATACCAAACATTAAAAAGTAGTCCCATCCCATATTTTATAAGTCTGCTAAATCATTAATCTGTTAAGGGTTGGTTTTAATTGATTTGTGTTTTTGTGGGCATTGGTTATAAAAATGCAATTTTCTGTTTGTATCTTAAGTGATTTTCATTTTCTGATTGTTGTTTTGTGTCTATTTTAGATGAGATGCGTCTACTTTAAATTTTTAATGCTCTAATGTTTTATTTATTGAAAAGTTAACCTGTGTGTACTGCGGTAATTTAGCCTCCGGGCTACAATCACAGTGTTTGAAATAAATCATCAATAATAATAATAACTGCTTTTTGAAAAATCGAGAAAACAGCGCGGAATTTTCAACGCTTAAATTAACGGTCTTGCATTTTGTTTTGCGTAAAACCTGTGCTGTGGATTATAGGGCGTTCGTAGTACAAGCGAAAATCGTCCACGGGGTCAGGGGGGAACCAAGCATGACAGGTTCTCATTCCCTTGAAAAGGGGAGCAGTTTTCAACTGCTAGGAGTAATCAGTGATTTAACCTTGGATTAATGCGCCTCCTCGAGAATGTATCATTGCAAATTCGTGGAAAAACGTCATCCAGGAACACAGCAGTGGACTCGTGTCCTTGAGTAGGCCCATATGATAATGCACGTGCGCACGATCGTGTTTATAACGGCATTTTCATGTCAGTTCACGCGTCGATGAAAGTCTAAAACACAGTTGTGTCATTAGTAAAAAGAATTATCAACCCCCCTTGAAAAAAAAGGAGGATTAACGTGTGGAAATCGTACTCTTTGTTGACGAAAATCATCGTTTTGGGAAAACAGCCGCCATATTGGATTATATCTAGGAGTGATTTTGAATTCGCAAAGTTTTCCGTTAAAACAACCTTTCCTTAAATAAAATTCAACTTCACACGGATCCAATTTATTTCTACTTTACGCCTAACACTCAGGTTTCTATAATTTCAGTTTGTTATAACGTAGAAGCAAGTAATCACAACCAAAAGAACGGAACAAACGCAAAAATGGCTGTGCAAGAACTTCAACAATCTTGTATTACGAGACACACAATAATAACAATTTCAGGAATTCGTCAGGTGAGTGTATACTTCCCTATGGCATGTACTTATCCAAATCAAACCACGCAGTTCAGAGTGTTTTTGTTGAAAGAATGTCAGTATATTTTTAGCTGCTTAGGTTTATCCGTTCATTAATGGAGAATCCCACAACATTTGCAAACCAACGAATTTGGCACCTGTTGAAGGATGTTGTGTGCAAAGTGAAATTAACTCTATTACAATGGTCGGCCGACCATCGTAATGAAAGAGAATAAAAGTTTTGTTTTTCTCGAGAACTACAGCATTCTGGGTGGAAATATTTACAGAGTGATTATGACTGTTGTGAACTTTCTTTCAAGTAAGATATTTCAGGATTATATGGTAGTCCGTTTTTCGGGATTATACCAGTGGTGTACACCACCTTTAAATCTTTGCACGTTATTTTTCCTATCCAAGGGTTCCGGAGGCGCGCCATCGGGGGACAACGTTCAGGCTCTATTTGCTTTCGGTAAAAATT